AAAACAAAGAATACCATTGAAATTCTAATAAAATAACCTTTGCAACGGGGGGTCGAATGCCGTCAAAGCATTACACAAACCGAAACAATCATATATTTACTCACCGCTTGGCCAAAATTTCGGAATTTCGTTTCCACAATAGCGTAAATAACTTATGAATTCTTCAGAGTTCGGCTCAAATCAATATGAGTGAAATATGTGCTGTATTCAAGCGCTTTTATATCCAGAATTTCACTTGAATACAGCCAGTAGAAATGTTTATTTTGAGTTTTTAAAAATATTGGGTTTTTCTTGGTTTTTCTCGCACGTGCCTGCCACACGCTAAAATTGGCGAATAAGAAGTACCCGTAGCCCGATGCACGTGCAAATCATGCTGCAGATGTAATTTGACCTTTAGAATTTAAATGAAACACCGATGTTTTGCGAATTTAAATCGCATTTCCGGTCAAAAAATATCCCGCTGAGTTCGCTAATATCACAACAGATCGAAATATCAAAATAAAAGACGAAGAACTGAGGCTACAAGCCTCAAAATAACACTGTAAATAGTGTTTTTGATTGTGAATCGAACAAGACTACAACAAAAAATACATGTTTGAAGGGGCCGAAGTTGTGTCTGGCAAAAGGTATGGCTTTAGTGATAAATTGTTTACATTTTTCGAACAAATATGTAATTTGTTGAAATATGATATGTCTTGACCCTTCAAAGGTCATAAATCGCTATAATGTTTGTCTTTGACTAAAACTATCATTATGAATCAGGAAATATTATTTCGCTGAATTGAATGGTGGTATTTTCATCTACGTAGCATGTACTGAACCGAAGATATGAACCTCCAAAATACTATTGCAGTTCTGCAAAATCGCATTTCCGGTCAAAATCGAAATAAAAGACGAAAATCCGAGGCTACAAGCCTCAAAATAACACTGTAAATAGTGTTTTTGATTGTGAATCAAACAAGACTACAATGAAAAACACATGTTCGAAGGGGCCAAAGTTGTGTCCAGCGAAAGGCATGGTTTTAGTGCTACATTGTTTACATTTTTAGAACAAATATGTAATTTGTTGAAATATGATACCTCTCGACCCTTCAAAGGTCATAAATCGCTATAAAATTTGTGTTTGACTAAAACTATCACTAGGAATCAGGAGATATTATTTTGCTGAATCGAATGGTGGTATTTTCATCTACGTAGCATGTACTGAACCGAAGATATGAACCTCCAAAATACTATTGCAGATCTGCAATAGTTTTCACAGGGCCGGTCGAAAAGGAGTTAAGACAGGTTTCACCGCTAAAGGCGAGGGCTTCTTATTGTTTTGAAATCGTATTGTTATCTACTTTTCACTTACCCACGACCTTTCCAATATAGTTACTATTAATATGGCATGGTATTTAAACTTCATCGTAATGCTATATTAATGAGCGGTGTGTCATGCAGTTAGCGTAATACAGCTTGATGTTTTTGTCAAATTATTGGGTACTATAGTGAAATTAAAATCAGTTTAACGACGTTAACTTTCAACGACAGGGTAAATATTCTTGAGCAAACTACCGTTGACTTGCCGTCGCGAATGCCTTTCACTTACAGGAGTTCTATATATAGTCGTGTTTCCTATTTATTGGACAGCTTAAGCTTCACATTGACGCGTCGCATGATAAAAAGCAGTTACAAAGACCATACGAAGAATTTACACTACTTAATAAATTTATTTATGTTTTAAACTAGAGCGAAAAATAACTCCCTAATGCAATTAACCTCTTAACGATCACAATAACGGTCACAAACATTTCCGTATAAGTGTGAGCATGTACAATAATTACATTCCATATTTTGTGTGCTCTGTAGATAAGTATGGAAAGCATGATATGTCCCTGGTTCAATATCTGTTCAAGAAAGGGGAGCATGATGTCGTGCCCGTTAGCCATGGCAACAACAAGAGAAAAGATTCACAAGCCTTTATTCCAACTAAGAAATCTACAAAGGAGATATTTCAAACCTCTTGTGAGAAACTGCCTCCCAAAAAAGCATATCATCATGTATTAGAATCATCTGGTGGCATAAAGCATGCAAGAGCTGCTAGTGATCTACCACGAAACTTGGATCAGGCTTCATATTTTCGACGTGGAAAAGCAACTAGTGATGACAACGCAAACGACTCTATATTGATTGTTCTACAACAGTGCAAAAGACAGCACATTAACACTCCCCAAGCAGCATTCATTCGTGAGGTGGTTGCTTCCCCAGACCTAAGATGTGTGCTTGCAAGCAACAGGCAGCTAAATGATTTAGTGCGCTTTTGTACTAACCCAGTTAGCTTTTCCATCTTAAATTTAGACCCAACTTTTAATCTTGGAAATTTCAACCTGACAGTAACAACATACCGCAACACAATGCTCATCGACAAGAAGAGAGGAAAACATCCAGTGTTTTTGGGGCCATTATTTATACATCAGAAGAAGACATTCGACTGCTACAACTACTTTGTCTCAAAGATGATTGGTCTGAATCCAGCAATACGAGAAATCCTCTGTTCTGGAACAGATGGCGAGGCTGCTTTAGTGTCTGCAATTCAAAACAACTTGCCATTTTCTTTACACTTGAGATGTTTTAAGCATTTTAAAAGTGATTGCAAAGAGCAATTAAAAAAGCTAAATCTTCCAGAGGCTGTTAAGAATGAATTTCTTAGTGAAATATTTGGAAAGGCTGGTCATGAAGGTATGTTAAAAACGTGCTGACCACTCACCAGGTCCATAAAATGGCCTTTGCATGTTAAACAGAGACATGTTCTCTTGTATATTCCGGATTTGACTGGACATTATGGTGCACGCCATAACATTTAACTCATAATATTTTTGCTAAAGCAAGAATGGTGCTTTGAGCAGCCCACTATCATTAACATGCGTGAGAAAACAATGGTAGATTTGAATGAGTATATTACACGGCGGCGCGAAGATATGACTTTTATCTTCGAGTAGTGAAAACAATATTTTACAAACGAACGAACGCAGGGAGTAAAATATTGTTTTTAACACGAGAAGATAAAAGTTTTATCTTCAAGCCACCGTGTAATGTTCTGTGTATTATATAATCCCAAGCAAAAAATTGTGAAATTTCACGCTCAAAAGCAAATTGGAAAAAGTCACGTGATCGATATTTTCACTAGTGAAGATATGGAAAATATCTCGCTGTGTATTTTTCAGTATCTCACTCTCTACTATATAATAATAGGCTTACTTGATGCTACTGGAGAAGATGATTTTGAAGCCAAATTGAAAAACTTGGAAGAAAAGTGGAACGAAAGAGAAATAGTATGCATTCCACCTGGTCAGAATCCAAAGTTTTACAGTTACATCAAAGCGAGGGTATGAAATTTGATAGTATATAGTATACAAACGGGAACATGTACAACTTATATACTAGTCTGTAATTATTGTGCTTTACACAAATTCATAACTGTCTGTCTATATCGGTTTGTACGTGGCTGTCGTTCTGCCTATATCATCAACAACCTTTTTGTAATAGAACTGCAAGTTATACCTGTGTTTTTTTAATCGTCTTTTTATTATATATTTTCGATATGTTTAGTCTGAGATGATATGCAGCAGCATGATTGCATCTGTAAGAAGAAATGCTGGCCTCGGAGATCCTCCTGATGCTTTCTACACCAATGATGTTGAGAGTGAGAACTGCATCATTAAGAGGGAAGTAGAGTTTAAAAAGTCTGATATCCCAAGCTTTGTTCAAAAAATGCACAATCTTGAGCAAAAACAGGCGAAAGATGCAGAAAGTGCATTGTTTGAGCATGGCCCATACTCTTTAGCACCTGCATACAAGTCTCTACGAATTGAGCAGCACAAGTGGTTCAAGTTGAATGCAAAGCAGCGAGAAAGCTTTATCAAAAAATTTTGGCATACACAAGTGAATGATGGAAATCAATTTCAACACGAAGTATTGGATGTGGAGCAGATATTCGACGGTACAACAGAAGATGTACAGTACAGTTCACCTGCCACCCAAGAAGATCCGGATCCGTCCGCGGTGTTCACTCCCACATCAACTTCCGCGTTGTCAATGACGACAAGTGATTATCAAATCCCCGGTATTCCTGCAATGCAAATGCATGGAATGCTTCAAAAGGCTGAGCGCCTTCTCTGTGATCCTGGGTCAATTATTGCTGCACCAAGTAATACACCAAATTCCTTTTGTGTTCGTAGTGAATCCAACAAGAAGTCACACTTTGTCTACCAGTTAGAGTCAAGTGGGAAAACTATTTGCGAAGACTGTCCACAATGGATTAGCTCCTCAATATGCGCCCATTCTGTTGCAGTTGCGGAAAAGTGTGGAAATTTGAAAAAAATTATTACTTGGAGAAAGGCATAATCCAAAGGAATCAACATCACCAAGTTAATCAACTATGATGGTGTCAAAGGAGTGGGAAAGAAACCGTACCAACAGTCCAGGTCACGTGTACGCAAATCCAAAGCACCTGTTCCTGCGCCTTCATCTTTTCCTTCGTCTGTTCCCTCACATACTCCCTCGCCAATCTACCACACCATGCCTAATAAAGTAAACCAGGTTTTATTGCAAAGTTTCATTCATACGATTTTCATTCTGGCATATGTGAATTATTGCTGATGCTGTAATTCTATGATGAATTGTGACATGTTGATGTATTTACCTGTGGCAAATAGTAGATCACATAAGCCAGGATGAGAACCGTATGGCCGATTCGTATGTACACACGTAAAAATCGTACATCTTGTAACAAGTCTGCCAACAAGCCGTCAACAAGATGTATTCGCACTGCTTGTCACAAGTTGTCAACAGGTTTGGAACAACTTGTATTAAACAACCTTGTCGAAATTATCAGATCTGTTACAAGGTTGTTCTGACAAGTCCGTTACGTGCTTGATATAACAAGATTGTTACAACCTTGTGTTGACAACCTTGTAACATCCTTGTTATATCATGGCTGTAACAAACTTGTTAGCACAGGCTTGTAACCAAGGCTGATAATGCAATCAAGCTTGTTACAAGTCGTTAACAGCTTGTTTCAAACTTGTTACAACAAACTGGGAATAAGCAGTGCGAACACAACTTGTTGACAGCTTGTGAACAGACTTGTAACAACTTGTTTGCAGACTTGTTACAACTTGTGCGTTTTTACGTGTGTAGTTGTGGTTGGTTCATGTTGTCTGTAACGAGAGTTAAACATAACCATGTTTCAATAGCGAAGGGCCTTATAAATTCTGAATGCCTTCGCCCAAAACATCAAAATTTTTTGCTCTCTTGGAGGCCAAATTTTAAATTCAATTTTTTTACAATTATTTTATCTTTAGGTTGGTGTCAGTAAAAAACAACAAAGTCCTTATGTTCCTTTAATGAATATCAATAACAACATGTTCAACGCAATTCCTGTCAACCCACCATTTATGTATCCACCAAATCAAACGAGCAATATTTCACCTGGTCACAGTCTGCAAACCAGCCAAGCAACAGCATATTTACGTTACAACCAATTACCTAACACCCAAACACCTAGCTGTCATCCAAACATGGAGTGCCTATCTCCTGAGAATAACCAACCCTGGCAAAATGGAAAACCATTTTATGTTTGTCGAATTCATGGCAATATATCTCGATGCAATGGCTGCCGAGGAATCATTGACAAGGAACCACCCCCTAATGACCTTGTGATAATGCACGAGGAATGCCATTACTATCCGCATCCCACAACAAGGCAGATGGTTTTGAGCATGACGCCAAAGCCAGAATACTACCATTTCCAATTACCATGCCTGAGATCAAAACATCCGACATTCTCTTTCAGAGATCTAGTTCCAGGCTCTTCAGGACCACAGTTAGAAGAATCACATTTCCAATTTATTCAACACTACTCTTATTATGGTTAAGATTTACAGTTTGTTGCAAACGTCCGACATTCTCTTTCAGAGATCTAGCCCCAGGCTCTTGAGGACACAGTTAGAAGAATCACATTTCCAATTGATTCAACACTACTCGTATAGGATAGTATTTGAGTTGACGTTTTATATATAACAACTATTATGTAGCGATCAATATATATTTGAGTTAATGCTTTATATAACAACTATTATATGTACCGATCAATTCGAAACTTCAACATGCCCGATTCCTGGATTTTGAAATTTTTAAAATTTTGCTGTTCAAATTCCCCATCCCCTGCCCAAAAAATACCTTCAACTGCCCCACTCATTAACAAAAGATTCAGCATTCAAAGGCCTGCACCTTCATACAAAATTGTGAAAAAGTAAATCAAAAAGTACAAAATACACGGGAAAGTACAACAACTAATGAGAATAGACCATAGTTTATAATTTGAACGGTTTTTGGAGCGAGATTTACACAAAAATTCCCCACCCTTATCAAATGCCCCACCACATGGAAGACTTAAGCCTGTTTTCCACTTCAACATATCGTAACGAAACGTACCGTATTTCTTTGTTTGGTGAGCACTCGTGAGGTAGAACTAATGACTTTGAAATAAAGAAATACGTGATGTTTCGCTACGATTGAAGCGGAAAACAGGCTTTAGAACGTCAAATTCCTACTCCCCGGAGAAAGCTTGGAGTCAAATGCCCGGGGGATGTTCAAGTTTCGAATTTATTGGTACATTATCCTTCACTATTCATTTTGTAACATATTTGTGTTGACGTTTTATATAAAGAACAATATGATATCTATTGAACTATACCAATAACATGTACTGCATTTGTGTCGATAATACGTGTATTAGATTAATACGTGTATTAGACTTGGCATGTTGTAAAACACAGACTGGACTGGACCGGAAAAGCGCGGACTCGGTCCACGATTTGTAAAACCACGGGTAAAACACCGACTACAATCCTGGACAAAAGTGTTGGGACACTCAACCTTTTCCACCCTTGAATTCTAAACACAACGTTCCCTCCCCTCCCCTCCCCCAATTCAATGTTGAAAGTTCTTACAATTTTAGTTAAGGATGCCCCCCAAATCAACATTGAACGGGGGAGGGGAGGGGGCGTTCGGTTCAAAAGCATATTTTGCGTTAAATCTGCTTTCCCTGAAGAGAACAATAAAAACATGGGAAAATTTTGGGTTGTCCCAAGGACTTTTGGCCAGGATTGTAGCTCAGTCCGCATTTTCCCAGTCCAGTCCGTCTTTTACAACATGCCAATTTTATATTGTGACAAATGCATTTAATTATTTGATCTAGCTTTTGTTCAAATGCATTTGTCACAATAAATTTGTCACAAGTTTCATCTACACAAGCAAAATATCTTTGACATAAAATTTGTCAAATAAAATTTGCTCGTGTAAACGTGCCTTTACTTACAGTAATTAGACTTTTTGGTGTTGTATAACGAGGCTCATTTTACCTAAAAATTTTCAATGAAGGAGACCGAAGGCCATTTTACTACTTTTACCATTGTTTAGAAGAATTTAGCAGGATTTTTAGCGCTCCCATGTTCC